TCTCACTCATTTCTTTCTCTGTTCTCTCCATTTCTCTTCCATTCTCTTGTCATCGTATTATCCTCATCATTCTCTCCCTTTTCCTTCCATTTCTTCTTCAATTCCTCTACCCTTCATTTACTCCCCATAGCATCTTCATCCTCCTTCCTTCCCTTCATTTCTCTCTCCTTTCGTCGCTTCTTCCCTCTTCCCTGTTCGCTCCCTCCCTCTCCCGCCATTCCTCCCCCTCCTCTTCCCCCTCTTTCGCCCTTCTTCACTCCTCTTTTCCCTCCTTCACTCCTCCTACCCTTTCCCCACTTCCCTCCCTTCTCCTCCTCCCTCTCTTCCCTCCATCCCAATATCCCCCTTCTGCCCTCCACCCCCCATCTTCTCATCCCCCTCCCCCCATCCTCCTTCTCCCCCCCCCCCCTCTAGTACCTGCACTTCGGTCACGATTCTCGCGGCTGGGGTCTGGCTGTGCCCCAACACTCTCTTGCCCTCCCTACCCTGGCTAAGCCCTTATCCCCCCCACCCCCAATTTGACCCCTCCAAGCCCCCCCCCCCCTCCATCATTCCCTCCCTCATTCGCTCATTCCCTCTTTGACCCCTCCAAGTCCCCCCCCCTCCATCATTCCCTCCCTCATTCCCTCTTCCCACCCCCTCTTTGACCTCTCCAAGTCCCCCCCCCCTCCATCATTCCCTCTTTGACCCCTCTAAGTCCCCCCCACCCACCTCTTTTTCTCCCTCCTCATGGTGGTCCTATGGTTTATTTTTGGTTGTCTGGTTAGTGGTTTGCTTGTTTGTCTGTCTGTTTGTGTTTGATCGTTTATCTGTTTGTTTGTGTTTGATTGTTTATCTGTTTGTTTGTGTTTGATTGTTTATTTTTGTCTATCTGTTTGTGTGTTTGATTGTTTATGTTTGTCTGTCTGTTTGTTTATTTGTTCGGGGGATAGGGAGAAGGGGGTGCTTCTGCCTATTATCGTCTCCCAGTGTAAATGAACTCGGGGCGGCGAGAATGTATGAGTGTTTGTTTGCTCTTTTTGGATCTTTGTATGTTAGTTAATGTTGGGTCATATTTTTCTATGTGTTTGTTTCTCTCTTTTCGATTTTACTTAGTTTTCCTTTTTTTTTTTTTTTAGTCTTTCACTTTCTGATTCTGTCTTTCATTTTTTCTTCTCTCACTCTCTCTCTCTGTCTATCTATCTCCCTCTCTCTCTCTCTCTCTCTCTCTCTCTCTCTCTCTCTCTCTCTCTCTCTCTCTCTCTCTCTCTCTCTCTCTTTCTCTCTCTCTCTCTCTCTCTCTCTTTCTCTCTCTCTCTCTCTCTCTCTTTCTCTCTCTCTCTCTCTCTTTCTCTCTCTTTCTCTCTCTCTCTCTCTCTCTCTCTCTCTCTCTCTCTCTCTCTCCCTCTCTCTCTCTCTCTCTCTCTCTCTCTCTCTCTCTCTCTCTCTCTCTCTCTCTCTCTCTCTCTTTCTCTCTCTTCCTCTCTCTTTCTCTCTCTTTCTCTCTCTTTCTCTCTCCCTCTCCCTCTCTCTCTCACCTTGCCCCCTCCACCAATTCGCAGCAATATTTAGCAAAGGGTATGACCAGCGATACATCATACAGGTGGGGGGGTGGGGAGATGAGGGTTACAGCGCCGACACCACAGCCAAAGGAAGGTCAGAGGGGGGGTGGGGTGTCATATCGCCCGTGCCTTAAGGTCAGGGAGACCAAAAAGAGCGGGAAGGTTAAGGTTATTACGCGGAGAATGAAGTTCGGTGGAGTTGTGTGTGTGGTGTTCTTTTAAAAAGTTCGGACTCGTATATCAGGAGGAGAGGAAGGGATATCAAAATAGGGAACAGTTGGGACAGGGAGTGGGGTTCGCGTCGAGTAGCACAGGGAGTGGGGTTCGTGTCGAGTAGAACAGGGAGTGGGGTTCGCGTCTAGCAGAACAGGGAAAGGGGTTCGCGGCGAGTAGAACAGGGAATGGGGTTCGCGTCGAGCAGAACAGGGAATGGGGTTCGCGTCGAGCAGAACAGGGAATGGGGTTCGCGTCGAGCAGAACAGGGATTGGGGTTCGCGTCGAGCAGAACAGGGATAGGGGTTCGCGTCGAGTAGAACAGGGAGTGGGGTTCGCGTCGAGTAGAACAGGGAATGGGGTTCGCGTCGAGCAGAACAGGGATTGGGGTTCGCGTCGAGCAGAACAGGGATTGGGGTTCGCGTCGAGTAGAACAGGGAGTGGGGTTCGCGTCGAGTAGAACAGGGAGTGGGGTTCTCGTCGAGCAGAACGGAGTGGGTCTTCGCGTCGAGCAGAACATTGGATGAGGTTCGCGTCGAACAGAACCAGGGAGTGAATTCAAAGAAGAAATCGCTAAGTTCGTTTAATTCCGCGGAGAACATAGAGAGAGACGGACGGAGGGGTTGAGCGGGGGGGGAGGGGGTTCTCGAAAAACGTTCTCGTAAGGCGCGTCTCTGTCATTCATTGGCGGCGGCGGCGATCTCTGCTCTTGTTACTCGCCCGTTTTGTCTTTTTTGTCTTTGTTTTTGTTGAGAGAGAGAGAGAGAGAGAGAGAGTTGTGTGTGTGTGTGTGTGTGTGTGTGTGTGTGTGTGTGTGTGTGTGTGTGTGTGTGTGTGTGTGTGTGAGTTGTGTGTGTGTGTGTGCGTGAGGGAGAATACAGAGGTCAGTGCAGCCTCCCCATCCCCCTCCCCCCGGCCTCCCCCAGCGCCTTAAATCATCACCACAACCTCCTGTCTATTACATCACCCTCCCCCCTCGCCCCCCTCCCCTCCCCCCTCCTGGCCCGCCCCGCCTGGCGCTGGGCCTCTGAATGAAATAATAATGGTGTCTCCAGATAGCCTTTGTCCTCCCTTAAGCATGATATCCTCCTCGTCGGCCTCTGCCACATCACGTGCTCCTGCGGCCGTGAGTTTGACCTCTGTGGCACTTGGGGATAAGGCCACTTTTTGCAGGTCGCATTCCCCGATCCGATACTGATCATGCATAACCGAGGAGATAAGATTGTCAAAGATGATGTTATCTTCGGCGTTCCCAGTGGCCTGACGCCCTTACGGGCTGGCGGGAGTGGCACTGCCTTCCCCCGCGTGCTCACGGGCCGCCGTCATCAGCGGGGCCTGCGGCGTCCGCGGCCGAGATGCCGCCTCCGCCGCCGCTGGGGTTGCTGGGGGGGAGGCGCCACATCACGTGCTCCTGCGGCCGTGAGTTTGACCTCTGTGGCACTTGGGGATAAGGCCACTTTTTGCAGGTCGCATTCCCCGATCCGATACTGATCATGCATAACCGAGGAGATAAGATTGTCAAAGATGATGTTATCTTCGGCGTTCCCAGTGGCCTGACGCCCTTACGGGCTGGCGGGAGTGGCACTGCCTTCCCCCGCGTGCTCACGGGCCGCCGTCATCAGCGGGGCCTGCGGCGTCCGCGGCCGAGATGCCGCCTCCGCCGCCGCTGGGGTTGCTGCGGCCGGCGGAGGGGGAGGTAGGGGGGGGGTCCGGAAGGGGGCAGGGTGGGAAGGGCGCAGGCGGGAGGGGGCGGGGTGCCGGGACGAGGCGGTGGGGGCATCGCCTAGTAAGTCCCGTAATAGCATAATCCCATTGTGCCATCATGGGCCTTATCATGGCTAGGTGAGGACTGGTGCCTCCCTCCCCCCTCCCCCCGCCATTGTTGGTGTTGGTCCTCTACTCTAGCTACGGCTCCTACGCCCCGGGGCCTCGCTGCCTCGGCCGCCGAGGCTCTCTGCTGCCTCTCTCGGCTGCTTGCCTGGCATTCCTCTCTGGAGGGGGGGGGGGGGCTCGGCCAAAGTATCGGCAGATCGCTCGACGTTATCGCTTTGCTTATGTCAGTGTCACGGCTAATTACTGCTGTTGACTCCCCCATTGCCAGCCGTGTGCGTGGGTTCACTGCTGGCACTGCCCCGTGGCACTCGGCAGTGAGCGAGGGTGATGTCATCGCAGGCGCGGCATTGGGGCACATTGCACTTCTTCAGTATCATTGTAAGCGGGCTGGCGCCGTCATGGGTGTGGCGCCGCGCGCAGTCTCTCGCTGTCCTTGCGAGGCACTGCTCTCCGTGGCGCTCGTAGGGTCCTCGGAGGCACCGGTGTTCCCGCAGAGGCGAGGCACTCCTTGGCACTCCTCCGTCTGTACTCGGATTGCAGGTTGCGAGGCGAGATCACGGCGCAGGCCAGGGCTAGCTGTACCTTCGTGGCGGCGGCGCACGCCCGCGACTCGATGGGACATCACAGTTCACGTGCAGGGGCGTGCGCCGCAGGCTCCGCCCACCATCCATTACTTGGCTCTAAATGGCGGCCATGCAGGAGGAGGGAGGGGGAGGGGGGGCCTCCATGATGGCGAGGACCGAGTGTCAGCAAGACGACCTTGTTCGCCGGGGACGAGTGCCGACCGCGTCCTCGGTGTGCCTGGGAGGTGACGTAATGCTCGCAATGGCGTCGCGGGCGTC